TGTGTGTGTGTGTGTGTGTGTGTGTGTGTGTGTGTGTGTGTGTGTGTGTGTGTGTGTGTGTGTGTGTGTGTGTGTGTGTGTGTGTGTGTATGTATGTATGTATATGTATGTATGTGTATATATATATATATATATATATATATATATATATATATATATATATATATATATATATATATATATATATATATATGACGTTGAAAATAATGTATACAACTACAGTTTTTTTGTTTTGACATATTAAAGTATGTCGCTAAGAAATAATTACATTTGATTTTGTTTTTTGTGGCAAGCATTAGAAATAATCCTTAGTGTTTATCCCTGTATAAGTCTAAAATTTCAGTCTTAAAAGGGTCTTAAAAAGTCTTAAATTTGACTTGATGAAACCTGCAGAAATCCTGATAAATAAAGTCATTAAAATGACTGCATTCAAAATTATTTTCATTTAATGTTGTGTTGTTTATTTTAATTTGTTTATTATTTAATTTTAGTTTTTTATTTAATCTGTTTTTTATTGTATTTATTGTATTATCTTTTCATTAATATTATTATTTGTGTTTTATTCATTTAATTTGACTGAGCTGCTCCAATTAACAAAATAAAAATGGTGTTTATATTTAAAATTCTTAAAAATAACAAGACCCATGAAATATGATTATTGATTGTTGCTGTCATTTTTATTACAAATATGTTTTATTTTTGATTGGGATTTAGCGCCATATTTATCTGTGAGTTTGTCTTTTTTCTGAGCTGCTCTTTTGCTTGAAATGTTAATTGGGTTTTGACTCATTGTTAAAGTCTTATTAATAATTATGAAAGAATTACATGAATGCATTTGATTTACCACTAATATTTGTCTGCAGGTGTGGTGGCAGATTCAGGAGTGTCTTTCAGAGAGACGGTGAGAAACGCTCCTGAACCGCAGCTGGCTGTGAGACCAACACCTGGAGCTCAGGAGGTACAAACACAGCAAAAATAGCGAGCACCAACTTGAGACCTGGGGGGGTCAAGCGCAAACTGGGTGTGGTCGAGCGCGATCTGGAGACCTGGGGGGGGGGGGGGGGGGTCCAGCGTGGACTGGGTGTGGTTGAACGCGAACTGGAAACCGGGGGGGGAGGGGGGTCGAGCGCGAACTGGAAACCTGGGGGGGGGGGGGGGGTTGGCCAAACCCGAACTGGAAACCTGGGGGGGGGGGGGGTTGGCCAAGGGCAAACTGGGTGGGGTTGAGCCCAAACCGGAAACCGGGGGGGGGGGGGGG